GTATTAGTGTCATATAGGTACGAGGATGATGGTGTTCTAGCACCACGTTGAAACCTAACGAAAAATTTTGACTTCCTCTGAAACAAAAGGCGCATATAACCTGGGGATTGGCGCACAAATAAGCACAAAATAGGCACAAATAGGGTACTAAGGTCATGTCGTTACGAGAATGATGGTGTTCTAGCACCAAGTTGGAACCTAACGGAAAATTTTGACTTCCTCTGAAACAAAAGGCGCATATAACCTGGGGATTGGCGCACAAATAAGCACAAAATAGGCACAAATAGGGTACTAAGGTCATATCGGTACGAGAATGATGGTGTTCTAGCACCAAGTTGGAACCTAACGGAAAATTTTGACTTCCTCTGAAACGAAGGCGCACATAACCTGGGGATTGGCGCACAAATAAGCACAAAATAGGCACAAAATAGGGTACTAAGGTCATATCGTTACGAGAATGATGGTGTTCTAGCACCAAGTTGGAACCTAACGGAAAATTTTGACTTCCTCTGAAACGAAAGGCGCACACACCTTGAGGGTTGGCGCACAAATAGGTACAAAATAGGCACACAACTATTATAGTTCAGTGTCATACAGATACTAGGATCATAGTGTTGCAGCATTAAGTTGGAACCTAACGAAAAATGTTTACCTCTTCTGAAACGAAAGGTGGACACAACTGGGGAATTGGGGCACAAATAAGCACAAAATGGGCACAAAATTATAGTATTTGTGTAATATCAGTGCAAGGATGCTCGTGTTCTAGCATTAGGTTGATTTTGTCATCCTCTGAGACGGAAGGCCCACACAACTTGGGGATTAGCGCACAAATAAGCACAAAATAGGCACAAATAAGGTATTAGGGTCATATCGGTCCGAGAATGATGGTGTTCTAGCATTAATTTGGAACCAAACGGAAAATTTTGACTTCCTCTGAATCAAAAGGCGAACACACCTTGGGGGTTGGCGCACAAATAAGCACAGAATAGGCACAAAACTATAATTTTATTGTCATATCGGTACGAGAATGATGGTGTTCTAGCATTAAGTTTACACCTACGAAAAATGTTAACTTTTCTGAAACGAAAAGTGCATATAACTTGGGGATTGGTTCACAAAAACCACAAAATAGACACAAAACCATAGTATTAGTGTCACATATGTACGAGGACGATGGTGTTCTAGAACCAAGCTGGAACCTAACGGAAAATGCGAAAGGCGAGCAGAACTTGGGGATTAGCGCACAAATAAGCACCAAATACGAACAAAACTACCTGTGGATACCATCCCGGCGATGTACATCCCGGCGGCGTACAGCACCCCGGCACCGTTTTCCCGGCGACAACCCATCCCGGCGACTATTACTTTCCCGGCATCAATTATCCCGGCAATGCACATTTTCCTAACCACGTCTGTTCAGGCCCATTTTTCTTTTTTTTTGGACATAAACAATGATATACTTTAGAAGTTGTTGTCAAATTAGGTACCGAAAGTGTTTGTTATAGTCGAAATATGCAAGGAAGCTCAAATAAGCCTTCTTGTTTACACAATTGCCAGCGGCGCAAATGACGCATTTTTTAAAATTGCGTTTTACCGTTTACCTACGCAGGTATATACCATAAAACTATAAATGGCATAATTTCAACTTGATACTATAGTTCCTATTCAGATTGTATTATAGCTAGAAAGTATAAATCACACTCTATCCAGTAACAAATGAGAGAACTTAATTCCGGTGAATTGTTTCAATATAATAAACATAAATTGATTTCATATGTTTACCGCGTCTTAAATGCCGTTTGATAAAGGAACATACCAAACCGAACTTGGGACAGTTGCACTCCGGTAACTTTAGTCTAACGCCTGGCACGAGGGACACCCTACGCTTATTGGTTTGAAGTCCTCGCGCCCGGATCCTTGGCGAGTAGTAATATATAGCCGCTCCGAAATCTCACTAGATGAAAATCCTTAGAAAAGTCACTAGAATTGAGTGGTTCTGAACTGTGGTAGCGAGGTTTGCGCCTGTGCTAACGTCAAGGGGGTCGAGGTTTGCGCTCGAGATAAAGTATCGGAGGTTTGCGTCCGAGCTAAAGTAAGTCGGTTTGTGCCTGAGGGTTCTTGTCGATGGTAGTGTACGGCCGATTCTAAATCTCACTAGATGAAAATCCCCCTAGAACAGTCACTAGAATTGAGTGGTTCTGAACTGCGAGGGTTGCGCCTAAGCTAACGTCAAGGTTCTTGTCTAAAACGAATATATGACTGTTTCTAAATCACACTAGCGTTAAGAGGTTTGAGCCTGGGCTAAAGTAATTTGATCATGTTGGAGGTTTGCGCTCAGGGATAAAGTATCAGAGGTTTGCATCCAGGCTAAAGTAAGGTTTTCGCTCGAGATGAAGTGGTTTGTTTATGAACTGAAGGTGGTATATAAAGGATAGGAATGAGTGCTGTAATATTCATCTTGGTATAGAAAGAGCATCCGTTACAATGACAAAAACAGCATCAACCACAACAACAACAACATTTGTAAATGTGAGCCGAAACCGCAACAGAATTGAGGATTTACTTACGAAAATAAAGAGATTAAAATGGGACCTGGAGGTATTCGAGGTGCAACGAAAATTGAGTAAAGTGCGCTTGCACACAAGAAGTTGAAAGAGCCAACGTCTATCAAAATTAGCGCCTGAGTCGATGGTTCTTGAGGTTTGCGTCCGAGCTATTTGGGTCGGAGGTTTGTTGTCAGGTTACGGTGAAGTTTCAAGGTCGTTTAAAGCAATTTGATCGTGGTAGTTTACTTCCGGGGTAGGATAATTTGATTGGGGCCTTCAAGTAACTAGGTTTGTATCTGTGCTGCGTGAGTTCGAATGTTTTGCTTGTACGGTTCTGGACTGGGGTTTGTAAAACTAGTAAAGCTACTCTCGATAATGTAGCACCGAAATCACACTAAGTTGCTTTCGGGGTTTGCGTCCGGGCTAACAATTCTATATCCTGTATTAGATGTCAATCACCGTGCAGAAATCTATTACTGAAGATTTCAAGGTCACACTTTGGAAATATAAGGTGAGCTGCAGGGCGTTTTTTCATTCAGTCCGATAGTGCTTTCCAAACAGTTAAAAAATGGATCTTAATGCGCTCAACAATGGAACATTCTGTAAAGCATTTAAGACCGTCAAGGATATGGCAGTGGAGGAAAAGTTTAAAATTCTGAATATCGATATCATAAACACAAAGTATGGTGACCGAATAGTACTGGAAACAGAAAATTATAAATGCGTACTGCTGAGCGAGTTCCAAGAATTAATGAAGACAAACGAGGTGTTCATTACAAGTGCAGGACCGTCAGGAAAGACCACAAACTTAAAATTCATGTAAACATTAGCTATTTTTGAAAAAAGATTATGTAAATAGTGTTGTAAATAAAACCATTAGACTACAAATAATCGTGTTTCATTAAGAAAAAAAAAGCCATCTCTGGTCATCCTTTGAATTCCATCCCGCCTCTTGTGTTGAAACATTTAGTTCGCGCTGCAATCCCCCCGAAGGTGTGGGTTGCAAATATCCCTTGGATCGTTAAATGGGCTCCAACCACAACGTATCTTTGGTGCGGAAAAACGACGAAGGGCATCGAGGGAGATTCAAGTTGTTTTGCGTCCCTGTAATCAATAATTCGCCCGTTACGATAAAGTTTCAACCATGGGCTCCACCGGAGCGGTTGGTGGTGGAGGCCGTGTAGGTTCTGTAGTTCTGTCTCATTCCCTAAAAATCCAATGTGGCGCCCATAGATATACGAAAGTAGTAGTCTGTATCTAGCTTCTACATCTAGCGTGTTATGGAATTTCCGATAGCAGATTCAGACACTGGGTACGTTTACGCAGATCCCAATGGTGCACGCATTTGAACCACCCTGTAGTATCGCAACAATTTAATTTTGTGCTGTAGTTTATTGATAGCATCGAACAACACTGATCTGGCGAAATTTTCACCTTGCCACCCTAAGTTTTTCACGTTAGAAGACCGGTACTCGGTTAAATCCATCCACTCAAAACACACCGCACAAAATTTCGGGTCAGTAACTCAAAAACTTTCTGTTCGTGTGTCTTCGTGAGTTTGAGCTCGACAACTTCCCACGGAACACCCGAAATTTTGGACCACGCACTTTAGTCTCTCGTGATCACCAACCGAATGCTCTACTGCTATCTCTCCGGGACCCGTCCCGACTCTTGCAATTTTACTAAGACCGCTGACAAAATGGTGCTAATAAGTTCAAGCGCCAATTTTTTTTTCGATTCGTTTAATCCAACGAATTACGCGCGCGTTAAGGCTATCAAATTGCGTGTTTACGAACCCAGTAAATTTGGAGTTTCACGTTACTTTAGGCAAGCCGATTGGCAGTAGCAGTACAAAAGAGTGATTGTTAAACTAAACTAAGTAAATTCACAGTAGTAGTCATTTTCGAATAACTAGGTCTGAAGTTTTGGCGAGATTATGTTTACGTGAACCCTAAAAGGAAAACAATAAGGCCATGCATGCAGCCACTCCATCTTTTCTTAAGCTAAAACGGTAATGGTACACGAAAGAGGCGATTTGTGGAGTACTCGCTAATGTTGACGTGTAATACGCACCTGAACCGCACCATCTACTAAGTGCCATCAGACCAGGCCCGTTAATTAACGCCATGCTTTTAGGCAACCGCTTTAGCATAGGTGTGTATACTTAAGGAAAGCCGCAAACCACACGACGTTAACACAATAATGACTTTAAGTTCCTAAAAGGGGATTAAAGTAAACTTGCTAATGAATTGCGGAGCTGTAAGTTTTCAAGTCCATTCCGAGGACAGAAAAACAGAGATGGATTGTGCAATTTGTCTGACACCACGAGACCGCTCCCCATTACATCTCGTCGAAGTTTTCTTTCAATTTGTCAGTGGAACAAACAAGCAGCGTTCTTTTTCCGTTGATCGATCGACAAAAAATGATTGATTCATACTTATTAATTACGCTTACCGCGTTAATGTAATTGATGAGGCTCAGTCCGCCGTCCCAGGGCTGTTCGCGTTCGCACGACACGTTCGAAATTTTCAGGGAGTGCGATTGCTCGAGGGTCTGCAGTCCGACGGCGAAGACGAACACGGAGTCGTAGATCAGCGCGGCTTCCGCCTGAAACAAAATTGAAAGTCGGCAATCGCTTAATTCAGTACGCCTTCGTGGATTTATGCTTTCAACTCAACGCACAAACGTTGCGTTTAGCTTTAATTTACGACCGTAGGGTGGCGGATTACTTAGAGTAAATCGAGCTGCACTTCATCTGAAGGGCAGCGCTGACCTAGAAACAACTCGAGTCAACTGCTGGATGGCGTGTTACCAATGAGATTGGTGGAGATTCGCTGCGTGTCTAAGGAACACTAAACATACTGACCGCATTTCTCCATTCGATGCTTCCCCGGACATTAGGACTTCAGGATGACCGCCAGGGAATGTTTCGTATTTACAACTAGAGAACAATTAACAATCAAACTCGTGGCTTCTCTCAATGTAAAAGTTACTTTCAAATTTGAAAGGCACATCGCAAGTTTCGGCGTTTTAAAAAAAGGAGCAATAAAATTCTTAGGAAAACTCATGTTTCAAAAATGAATATTGGAGCTACTGGCTGTAATCGAGAATGTCTTTCGGAACGGTTTTTTTCTAGTGTGTTTAATTAGAAAAAAACTTCAATTCTAAGATTTAATAGCAATTTTTCATTAAAACTGCCCACAATTGAGTATTTTTGTATTTTGAGTGTTTGGAATGTGTTTAGTAATTTGGATATTTTGAGTATCTAGAGTATTTTGAGTATCTTGAATATCTTGAGTATCTTGAGTATCTTGAGTATCTTGAGTACCTTGAGTATTTTGACTATCTTGAGTATGTTGAGTATTTTAAGTATCTTGAGTATCTTGAGTATTTTGAGTATTTTGAGTATTTTGAGTATTTTGAGTATTTTGAGTATTTTGAGTATTTTGAGTATTTTGAGTATTTTGAGTATTTTGAGTATTTTGAGTATTTTGACTATTTTTATTTTGAGTATTTTTATTTTGAGTATTTTGTGTTGGTATTTTGACTATTTTGATATTTTTTCTAATGTGATTAATTAAAGAAAACCTCAATTCTAAGATTTTTAATTTCATTGTTTCATTAAAACTGCCCGGAATTGGGCCTTATGGGTATGTTTGAGTTTTTGTATTTAGAGTGTTTTCAGAATGTTGAGTATTTCGAGTATTTTTTGTACTTTGAGTGTTTTGAGTAATTTGAGTATTTTTAGTATGTGCGCAGTGAATGTGTTAGACACCTTAGTATCTTACACTTATTGAACGATTTATTCCTTTATCTCTTTAGACCCTTGAGTGTCTTGAGTTGTTTGAGTGTCATGAGCTGCTTCAGTATTTTTAACTCATTGAACATCTAGACTGAAAAAGTATCTCTAGTAGTTTGTGTCTATGAGTGCTTTACATCAGTTGAAGGAATGTGCCTGAAGTACCTTGACATAGTGGAGCGACCTTGACATTATTCAGCGTTTTGATTGCTTTACTGTCTTAAGTGCCTTGAACCTCTTGAGCGTCTTGAGTATTTCACTACGTTAGGTACACGCAAAACGTCTTCAGTATTTTAGACTTCTTGAGCATTTTTATCGTAAAGGGTATCTTAAGTTGTGCCTATATTGCGTATACCTTGCGTAACTTGAGTATTTTGATTGCTTTCAATGTAGTGTGTGTCTTGAGTGCCTTAAGTATGTTGCACCCCAAGTGTTATTGGTGCCTTGAGTGCCTCGAGCTTCTTGACCATCGTGACTGTTTTGACTGACTTCGATGTTCTGGGCGTTTTGAGTGTCTTGAGCAATTTAAGTTCCTTGAATGTTTTAGTTATCTCGTGTACCTTGAGCATCCTTAACGGTGCCTTAAGTGCGCTTACTACATTAAGTATCTTGATTACCTTGAGCTCATTAAACGTTTAATGTTAAGGGCTTGTTGAATGCCTCGATCGTATTGAATGTCTTGAAATCCTTCTGTTTTTTGCGCTTCATCAATGTTTTGAACGTCCGCACTATTTTGAACATAGTGACATAGACCCATTGAATGCCTGGATTTATTTGAGTACATTGAGCGCCTTAGGTGTTTTTAACGCCAGTGTCTTAAGCATATTAAGTGTTTTGAGTGTCTTGAGTATACGTCTATGTGTCTCAGTGGTAGAGCGTTGGGCTACATAGCCGAGAGGTCGGGTGTTCTAAGGTAAGAATCTTTCATCTGTGGCAGAGATGGGAATTTTCTTAGATCAGTTTCGAGCAATCTGTCGGCTCCCCCGAATTAGGTTTTCTTCATTCGTATGGTAAATACCGGAGTGTATTCAACAAACTTAAGACCTTCTGTAGGGGCACTCGGTAATTGGGCGTTAGCATGTTGAGAGCCCAGAACAAGAGAGGGCAATAACAAAGACACATGCTTTGCTAGATCATATGCCTCTCCTCTGTTACTGAGATTTATCTGAAGTTCTGAATAGCTTTGGGCATTTCTTCCGTAGGTAAATGAATGAATGAATAATTAACCCAAGTTCTGTTCATCATTCAAACAAGTCAGCGAAACGAACTAAATATTTGCAAAATCGATGACAAAGGGAAAAAATCGCACCCGGTGGGATTTGAAACAACGTTTTTTCCATAAGCAATTAACCACTCACCGATTTACGACGTATCAAACTGTGAAATTAAAGTCCTCTTTTCGTTTATTAAATTATTTTCTTACATTAATAAGAGAAGAAAATCAATCAAGCACTTAAGAAAATCAAAAAATAATCAGAATCATACATTGTAAGAAACAAAATTGTTTTGTTCATTCAGTTAAAAGGTCCTCAAGGTCCTGCTTTTATTGATTATGCTCAAACTTTTGGGTTAATCGAAAAATAATTTTACCTTGATTGTCAAATTGACTCAGTTTCTATCGTACTCTACCCAATTGCTGTCACGTTTAAGAATGCTACGTCTAATTCTCAAATTCTGTCTCTTCAATTTGAGCTATTGTGTTTTAACGACGGCTAATAGGAGCGATGTTGCAATTCAATCGTGCGTTTCGCGCGTTATCTCTGCAATCTTTGGAAGTGAATCAACTTTGTATTATGTTTTCCAAGGAGAACGTCTAGACGCCCTACCGTTCGATGTGGTTAATCCCATTGTAACCTTCAACGTTAGCAACCCTATAATACCTACTCACCGATACGAGGAGAGAGAAACAGTTCGTAATTCAATGGGACGACTTCGAAGATTATGTCTTTGACAAGATAAAGAACAGCGAGTTATGGGTTCAAACAATGGGCAGCTCTATAGTTTTAATTATTACGAAGCAGAGTAATAGGTTAATTGACAACACCACGTTCGATTCGATTAGTGAGACTGCTGAGAGCTTTGGTATTGATGGGTCGATCGTAAGATGGATCCGAGCCATGCTCGAAGGCAGAGTCATTATATCCTCAATTGGGATGACGGAGATGAGCTCATCGGTTACTAGAGGATGTCCGCAGGGTGGGGTGTTGTCTCCACTTCTGTGGTGCCTGGTACTAGACGGGCTCCTCCGCATCTTGAACGAGGGGGGAGCGTATACACAGGGATACGCGGACGATCTCGCGATCGTCATAACTGGGAAGTTTCCAAACACCGTGAAAGAGCTCATGCAGGGGGCTCTCGAACAGGTGGATAGGTGGTGCAGTAGCCATGGCCTTTCCGTTAACCCGGAAAAGACCGAGGTTGTTTCATTCACGAATAGAAGGAGAGCGGATCTTGCTGGACTCGCTCTTCGAGGACGTCAACTGGGTCTGACCAGGTCAGTGAAATACCTGGGAGTCATCATTGACTCCCTCCTGACCTGGAAAGGACACATTGAGCAAGAAGGCCACTGCATGCTTTTGGTTGTACATGGGGCTTGAACCCTCGACTGGTATACTGGTTTTACACTGCAGTGATAAGGCCAATAATACTGTATGGTGCACTTGTATGGTGGCCTGCCATGCCCAGGGTAACCTACAGGAAGCAGCTAGGAAAGGTCCAGCGACTCGCCTGTCTGGGAGTCACCGGAGCCCTAAAAACCACGCCAACCTTGGCCATGGAGGCACTTCTGGCCTAGAGCCTTTACACTTAGCTGTGGAGGCAGAGGCTCGGAAGGCTTCCATACGGCTAAACGATTGTGATGAATGGAAGGATCGAAGCAGTCTTGGGCACGGGCGGATCTGGGAGGAAACCCTCAGGACCGATCCCCTCCTCGCAAGGAGGGACGTGATCCGGGCTATCTTGCGAAGACCAAAGCGTTATAAAGTCATTCTCCCGGATAGGGAGCAGTGGCTGAACTCGGATTGCCCGTTCCTCAAACCTGAGGGGCTCGTGTGGTTTACAGACGGGTCCCAAACAGAAAGGGGAACGGGCATGGGTATATATGGTGATCGACCGAGAGCCAGCGTCAGCGTCTCCCTTGGTCAGCATAGCACCGTGTTTCAGGCAGAGATGTTAGCCATCATGACCTGTGCACAGGAAAACCTCCGTAGAGGTTACCGTAACAAGCATATATACATATGCAGCGATATTCAGGCGGCGTTGAGGGCCCTGTCGGTAGACAGGTTCCGATCAGCTACGGCGCTTGATTGCAGACGAACCCTAGATAGATTAGGTGAGTCTAATAGGGTAAGCTTGATTTGGGTGCCAGCGCACTGCGGAACAGGGGGCAACGAAAGGGCGGACAAGTTGGCTCGCGAAGGCAGTGGTGGAGTCTTTGTCGGGCCCGAGCCTACCCTAGGGATTGCTCCCTCCGTTGTTAGGGCCAGGATTAAAGATTGGTTGACCAGTCAATTCCAGGCTCAGTGGCAACAAGTAACCGGACTCCGGCAGTCCAAGGCCTTTCTAACAGGGCCCCTTGGCAAATCGGGGTCTTCTAAGCTTCTAAAACTGAATAGAAGCCAGATTAGGAAGATCACCGGTGTCCTTACGGGACACTGGATGGTCAACTATCACCTGCATAACATTGGGCTCGCGGAGGAGTCCACGTGCAGGTTCTGTGGCGAGGCAGATGAAACTACCGAGCATGTGGTCTGTCACTGTGACGCTTTGATCAGGGACAGATATCAACTCCTTGGAGACAGATACCTGG